CACTCGCTCCACCACTGCGACAGAGCTGCCGTGAGCCGCGAGGCACGCACCCGGCCGAGTGTGACCCAGGAGCCGCAGGCCTCGGGGTGTGCACTGGGGCCCTGAACCCGAGTGCGAGCCCTGCATGGTCGGCCCTGCCAAGTCACTTACCAGAAAAGCGGTGGTAGAAACACAGCTTGGCCAGAAGGTTCTGGAAGGACACACTGATGCCGTCCACCTTGACTGAGCTCCCACTCAGGTCCCCAGACTCCAGCAGCTTGGCAAAGGCATCGCTGCGGGGTGACAAGGGATGGGCTGACGGGGCGGCCAGGCCCTTGGGCTCCTCGGACCCATGCAGAGACCCGCCGCAAAGGGTCCATGGCGGGGCCGTCCCTAGTGGGCTGAGGGTCTGGTGAGGCGTTCCAGGACAGACCGCATCACCCCACAGTCAGGCGTCCCAGCCCTCGCCCCCAGGACTGCAGGCGTGACCACGGCTGCAGACGAGGTCTGAGATGAGGCGGCGAGGGCACGGCGCGGCCCCTGGTGCCCTGACCGGGAGGGACTCGGGTCCTGCTCAGACACGGGGAGCTCCCACGTGAGCCAGGGAGGGACGCCTGGCCTTCGGCTTCCAGAGCCATGACAGACGGCGGCACGCTGGCTGGGCTCCCCGGGGCCCAGCGCACCTGTAGCAGGGTGTGGTGACCAGGTAGGACGTGCAGCTGAAGTGCAGCTTGAAGTCCAGCTTCTCGTGCGTGGCCCCGTCATCGTCCTGTGGCAGGGCAGAGGTGCAGCTCGGTGGGCGGCCAGGATCCCCGCCACCTCCCAGCATGCACCATGGAGAGGGGCGGCCTCAGGGCACTCCCATGTCGCCAGGATGAGCCCCTGGGTGCCCCGGGCAGGCGACGGGACGCTACGGCCAGCCCTCCCGAGGCTCACCTTGGCGATGAAGGACAAGGTGCCCTTGAGCTTCTGGGCCGTGGCGATGCTCTGCACGGTGAAGACAAACTGCGCCTCGTTGGAGACACCTGGCAAGGGCGGCAGGGCAGCTCAGCCTGCGCCCGCCCCCCAGCCCCGGGCACCGGGACGGCCGGGTCCCCGGGCGCAGCGCTCACCCGGCGGCAGCTGGAAGGGCACAGGCACGCCGTCATGCGCGGAGCAGCCCTCGGGCCGCACCATCCTGGCATTGAGCGAGTCCAGCACACTGAGCTCCATGTTCTTCAGGAAGCTGCTGCTGCGGTTCTCCAGGATGACAGACACGGTCACCTGGCTGTCCTTCTGCAGGCTGCCCTGCACGTCGTACGTCTGCGGGGCGAGGCAGGCGGTGGGTGGCACGCCCGCGGGGACTCGGAGCACCGTGACGTGGCCCCTCCCCGTCACTCACCACCTTGATGTAGGCGTTCTCAGCGAGGAGGCCGTAGCTGGACATGGGCTGGGGACAGAGTGGCCGACTCAGGGGACCGGGCACGCGCTGCCCTCCCTCCCCGCACAGCGCTGGGGCTCCAGCAGGCCTCGGGCGGTGCTGGCCGTGGCTCCTAGCTCCCGCCACCTA